AATCAAATTCATGGATCTTCGTGTCGATTATTCCAGAACCTGATTGCCTAATTTGGTATATCCCCTGACTGAATTAAATTTCAACTAATTGTGGCTTGGTTTGAATATCAGATATTTGATAATATACTGATACGCACATACGTACGTACGTACGTACGTACGTATGTATCTGGTATCTGGTATGTACAAAACTATAAATTGTGTAATTGTTACTCTTATACCTTTGGTATTTCGATTGGTATTGTTCTTTTACCGAACTAATTTTTATATTCGTAGTTTATGCTACGGTGTTTGTCAAATGAATACACATACTTTGTGACAGACAAACTGCCTAACCTCGGGGCCCTACACACCTTAATAAAGTATGTAGATTTACCTTTATTTACATTAGGGTTTGAAAACTTTAGTGCATTAGTTTCATTGTTCTCAAACTCTAATATTAATTTTTTTTAAGGAATTATCTCAACTCCTTGTATATGAAGAGTTTTCATAAATACTGATATGACCTTTTCATAATTTGTCTCGTTAAACCGACAGTATCTTATCCCGATTTTTTTATGCCAAGACCAAAAAACATCAAATTCGATTTGATTAAGGATTTAAAAATGTCATCTACTACTTGCGTTGCAGAATCCTCATCATCTCCTACTATTACCGTTACTGCATCCGCTTCCACAAATGTCCCTATTGCCATAACTATTCCTCCTGAAATTTTCATCAAAATATGTGAACATTTACCACCTTTTGATCTTTTGTCGTTGACTGGTGTTTGTAAAAGGTTTCGTGGCTTCTTATGTTCTCCAGAATCTTTAATAACACAAGATATCTGGCGTACTTCAAGAATTTGTTTCTTACCTGGCCTTCAATTACCACCTCCCGATGGAATGTACGAAGAAGAATATATTAGATTTGCATGTTTATTGACTCGTTGTCAATATTGTACTTCGCAAAAAATGGTCAAAGTTTATTGGCAATTTCAGGTTAGATGTTGTCAAGAGTGTCTATTAAAATATACTACACCCATCATGTAAATATATAAGGTTTTATTGTTAAAAAGTCATTTTGTTGATAAATATTTTTTTAATACATATACTTTTTTTTTATTTATTTTATTTATTTATTACAGTTATAGTAAAGATCATAATTGGATGACTGACAACGTATTCACTGGCTTGGTCTATGTTAGGCATAATAATCAAATTCTTTTTTGGACTTCTGATTTAACATCATCATTTAGAGAATTTGAAGTAATCAGTGGCAACAATTACATGAAATGGGTTGCTGACCGAAAAGAAAAGCGTATCCGTATAATGGATGATGCCGCTCAGCGTGATCAAGCGGCTGCTGCTGCTGAAGAAGAAAGCAACAAACTATTAGGTTCTGCTACGGCTGATACCACAACTAATATTCCAACAGTCAGCGCTTTAGGTGTTGATGTTGATCCAAGACAATTTGCACTTTCACAAATTCGTATCACTGGCACAAGGTCGAGTGTTTCTTCAGCGGTGTCAGCGTTGCAACATTTTGGTCATATTGATACTCTTGACATTATGATAATGGATTCTCCTTAATTATTGTTCGGATGGGTAGACTGTGTTGGAAAAAAAGTTTTGGTACACATTAGTTGATTATGATGTTAATTCTTATGGATTCTCAATGACTGATGGTGAGATGGCTTTTTTTTTCCTTTTTGTTCTTTGATAAATCATTTTGCGTATTTCATCCTATCACCTATATGTTAGGTCAAATATTTTTAAAATAAAATTACATTGTAAACAAAATTCGTAATTTTTTTTTCTTAGAATTACATTTATATACCATCAATTATAACATTTTATTTCGTTTTTACATTTGATATTTTAGCCAGTTTTCCCTTTTTGTCTTAGGGTTTAAATAGTTGTAGTTAGGTGTATATTTATTTTTAGTGCTTTGCTCAGTGATCGCCACCCGGTTAGATTTGGAAATACCTTTACTTTTCAAACCCAATTTTTGGCACATTAGTATATATTTTGATATTTATTAAATCCTTTTTTTTTTTTTTTTTTTTTGAAATAGTGTATGTATATTTATACAAAGTATCGATAAAGTCAAGGACGTTTTTTTGTCAAACTTTTTGATACATGTATTATGTAAAAGTTTTTTTTTTTTTTTTTATAAATCAAAAAGAATATTATATTAGGGCGCTGACATTAACTGTATTAAGTAATACATAATTTAGAAAAAGGGGTAAAACTCATCTTACCTTAGTTTAATTTAATTTGCCAAATGAATATATATTATCTGAGGTTAATATACCTCTATGTATAATAAATATTACTATGGTTGAAAATTAATACTGTATTAAAAAGAAGATAAAATTATATATTTTATATTAATTTTATATATTTTATTGAACAATTTTAATTTTTTAAATTTTTTTTTTTTGCATTTCAAAAATAATTAAAACAAATTAGACAATATTTTATTTTGTTTTTATAAACTTAAATTGATAATACATAAAAGAAGAAAAATTAAAAGATTGTATATACTGTATATTGTATATACAAAATTTATTGTTTTTAATTATAAATTTTTTTTTTTTTTTTTAATCTTCAAAGGTGAGGCCATGCCTCTATCTTTATTAAAATCCAATTAAACTTCTTTACAAATAAAAATAAAGAAATTACATTATTTGAACTTTATATTTATAAGATACTAAGACTAGAGACTCAGACAGAGCCCTTGCTAACTTTAATTATAAATTTTTTATTAAATAGCTTTTAAAATTCTAATAATAAATATGATTAACCTGGCAGTTTTTACAATTATACAATATTTTTTATATATTTTATAAATTACAGTTAGATTTTCAACTTCTTTTATAGTTATATTTGCTTATAATTTTATAAATTTTTAAAATCAACTTATATAATACTATGTTTCAAAATCAGTTTAATCTACACATTCTTCCCAACAATTTCTAGTTAACAATTCTAAAAACATTATAGAAAATATCAAAGTACTTAATAAACTTGGTTCTATACAAATAGGTGTGTTGTCAATGAAGTATTAAGAGTATAAAACTGAGGTGTGAACTACTTTGAATAGTTTTTGTAGAGGTCAAACTTTTCTGCAGTGGACTTCTCTATTATATTTGGCATTCAAACTAGAAGAATATTCTGAGAACACAGAATAACTAAGTCAATATTAGGAATATTAAAAACTTGAATTATTACTATATAACTATAAAACTTACAAGAAACAATCACAAAAAAGCTTTATTAACCTATCACTTTTTTTTGAGAAAAGTTTGTTAAAAAGTAAGCATCTTAGTTTAGCCTTCAAATGATCAATACATAAATTCACCAAAATAGTCAGTATTGTTGATTTCTTAATGCAAATATTTATATCATTTGTTTACTTTGTAAATTAGTAAACAAATATATAACTGATTATCCAGAGTAGAAAATATTATATAGATAGATAGGTAAACAGATAACTGAGACAACATAATGATAACATGTATTGATTTTTGTAAACTGCCAATAATACTGCAAGACTACTCTAAAAACTATTTTGTCTAGTTGAACTTGGTTTTTCTAGTTTACTTTATAATTTTTTTCTTTTTTAGATTTTTATAGATATATATATTATTAGGATAAAGTTAGATGCAGAGCTTCTTTATCTTGTAATATCTAATTTTTTAAAAGCCCAATACAGACTTATAATCATGATCTGTCATTTCTTTTTTTTCTCTTTAGTATTAGTTTTAGTATTAGTATTTTTTCTTTTTTCCACTTCTTTACAAGGAGATGTCATCAGATTAGTAATATTTTATTATAGAGTAATGGTCTGACAGTGCTTTCTGTAACAGATAAGTTTCTTTAAAATTTATTGTAATATATCTTTTTAGATATATCTATCTAGTATGGCTGGTAGCTTATAAGTTCTCTTAGAAATATAGGGTGTGGCGACTTAGTGAAGTGATGAAGTTGTCACACCCCCAAGCGGTAGAGTATAAGTTCAATTCCCACGAAAGGCGAAAAATTGAATTTAGAAAAACGGATTCGGCAAC